CGGTGCCGTGCCCGGCCGTGGGTTGTGGCGGTGCTGGTGGCTTGAAGAAGCCACGGCTGGAGGAGAAAAACCAGGGGGGGCTGGGTCGCCACGGGAGAGAGAGAACTGAGGGTTTTTAAGAAAAATCCTGATTTCCCAAAATTACCATTTTGCCCTTGAGCGTATTTTGACCGTAATTTCTTCGTTATAATTCCGATTCGAGCCTAATACGTGTCTACGGACTCGTTTCGTCGCGCTCTACGCAACGGTGTAAGTGAAACGGTCAAATTCTTTCTCGGTCAAAAAGTCAATCTTTTCCTCGATAAAATATTCTAAGGGCATTTTAGTCTTTTCCTCTAATAAATTAATAGTTAAATATTAATTTTAGGTTTGGGTTGTTACAATCTTCCCCCCTTATAAAATTTCGTCCTCGAAATTTACTTTCCCTCTAACGGAGGGGGTGAGGGTACTGGACCCACAACCGCTACTCGTTTGCAACTATAAGTCTGAGTATTTGCATCTATAATTCAAATAATAAAATCCGGGAGCAACCTGTTTATATCTGTATATCCTCAACTTTTCGAGTGATGGGTATTAAACCTACATCTGTTACTCGGGGTTCTCAAATCTGTCCTTCTAGTACTGTAACTGTATCTATAGGGTAATTAATAAAATATGAGGCCACACATTTATATCTGAATGCCTGAGCTGGCTTAAGGAAATATAAAACTTGGGAAAGATCTGCTAATTAACTGAATTTCTGATAAACTTAAAACTTTGCCGTCTTTAATCTGATAATCAGCTAAAAACCCCTTTTTATCTGACATCTGGCTAATGTTGGGCACAAAAGACTAATTTGCCCTTCTTAATTGTAATTAACTGAAATGCAAGTGCGACTTCTACCGAAAATTCGGCAGAGTCTCCCCTGTAAACTGAGCATTCCCAAAATTATTCAGCCTGTAAAACAAGGATATATATATATAACTCATCTGCCAGCATGCATTAAATCATATCCAAATAATCAAGCATCATAATATTTTGGCCTCAGGCCACAACAATTCAAATAAATCAATCTGCTAATAAAATTCATCTCAACTTCTTGATCAACAAAGATACTCTGGCAATTCAACATGCTAACTTGTGCATTCTTATTCATGCATGACTTATCAAATAATAATTCTGCTGAAAAATACTGAATGTATAACTCATCATGTTCTGTAATCCTGGCTGGACTCAGGAAACATCTGGTCAACCTGATCCGCAATTCTGGCTCCCACGGTCTGGATAACTCTAAGACTCGTGGGGCAAAATATGCTACAAATACTTGAGCTGCTTAATACCATATTTAATAATAAAAAGATGAATAACAGCAACTTAAATAAAATAAAATAAGGTAAATTAAAGCAAACTTTATTAAAACAAAATAGACAAGCTCTTGTATTGGACTCATTAAAAAAATTCGTAAGTAACCATGTGTATATGTATATATTTCCATATAGCACTTGTGATGTTGAGCACAGCACGGTTCAGGCGTCCCCGAACTCGTGGGGCAAAATAACTGTCTCAAGGCAACTGGGGGGTATCCTATGGTGAGTTTGAAAACCATAATCTGTTATTTACATAAACTTTCAATAAACTGATTCTCAACTGAACTTAAAATACATTCATATATACATAAAAATATACATATATTTATATATACCAAAATCTGATGAAAACCAAAAATTAAATTTCTTCCTTTTCAACTCCTGAATATATGCATCAACTACTTAGCTAGTTGGTTAACCACCTTACTCTTCGCTGAGCATATAATTCCAATAATAAATTTATACCCTTACAACACAATTAATCATAAGAACAAATATAGATAATTAAATACTGATCTTGCTAAACCTCAGTTCTCGACATATAAGCATATAATAACATGTATAACAAGTTTTTCAACCTCAACAAAATTTTCAAATCCTTCTGGATATCTATTTTCTCAGTCACACCAATGCAATAAAATAAAATAACATAATAAAATAACAATTGAAATAGCAATTGGAATAAAACAACCTAATAATTGTCCAGCAATTTTGAAAATACGGATGCACAAGTAATGCAGTGTCTACAGGAAGTTAACCTAATGCTCTGATACCAATTGAAACGACCCGACCCAAATTCCACTTTGAAATCCGGGCCGAATCCAGTTTTAAATTGACACCTGGTAACTGTGGATCGTAAAAGACGAAAAT